TCCATCATTCTTTCAAAAGTGCCTGGAGCCTTACAAAGGCCGAAAGGCATAACGGTAAATTCGTATAATCCATCAGGTGTGACAAATGCTATTTTAGGTCGGTCAGATGCTTCCATAGGAATCCGCCAGTATCCTGACCGTAAATCCAGTGAAGAGAAGTATTCTGCTCCCTGCAAACAGTCAAGGGCGTCGTCTATTCACAGTAACGGGTAAACGTCCTTACGGGTGATCTTGTTTAAACGTCGGTAGTCCACACAGAACCAAATGGAGCCGTCCTTCTTAACAAGAACGACCGATGACGCCCAGGGGCTGCTAGAAGGCTGTACAATACCCCACTGGAGCATGTCAGAAACCTGGTCGTCAATAACAAAGCGCTCCGACGCTGAGACATTGTAGGGACGCTGCCGTAGAGGCGTATGGCTTCCTCTGTTAATCTTGTGAGATATTTTCAATGTGCGACTGAGGCCAGAAGCGTGGCTGTCAAAAGAAGTACGAAACTTTTGCAGCAGGTACTGGTTTCGTTCTGAAAAAGACGTTGCGACATCGATGAAGTGGTGGAAAACGTCAAGGAGTGAATGGTGAACAACAGAGTCAGAAATGAGTGCGCTCAGGTCCATAGAAAGTAAACTAGACGGAGCTTCAAAAATGCCACCGGCGTCGATTGGATTCACGTGACCGAGACATTCACCATAGAATAAAGGTAAAGGCCCTTCTAGCGTATTGTACACGAGCGTCTTCGTGACGCCATGGTGGAGAGTAAGGAGAGCAACTGGCAGTGGAGAACATTTGCGTTGAATGAACAGGGCAGAGGGCGTAAATAGAACATCACCGTCGGAAATGGCGTCACACGACACAGTCACCAGCAGAGAAGAGCGTGGTGATACGATGGCGTCGTCGGAAACAGACAGTTTATAATACGGCAGGGAGGCTTCGACAGCGTCAACATCAGGAAGTGCAGATAGCTCAAGTTCAGCGCAGATAACTCACGTTCAGCGCAACAGCAGTCAATGATGGCATTATTATTCGCAAGGAAGTCCCAGCCGAGTATCATGTCATGGGAACACGAGGGCAGCACTACGAATTCGACGATATACACAATCCCTTCGATGACGACTCGTGTGGTACAGGCTGCGAGAGGTGTTACACTTTGTGCGTTAGCCGTTCCAAGAGAGAGGCTGGATAATGGCGTCAGAACTTTGCAGAGGTTGCGGCACAGGTTGATGGAAAGGACGGATAGAGCGGCTCCGGTGTCGACAAGCGCCAAGACGACGATACCATTTACTGACGCTGCAATGACGTTAGCTGGGCAGGGGCGAGGACTTGTGCATGGCGACGGGGACGCAGTTCATGCCTCGGAAACTGCGGCCGTTACTTTTCCTGGTCGGTGGGTCCGGAACGGCGACGCATAGGGGAAAGCAAACGTCGACGTGGAGATGGGGAGCGGTTGGTGGGGCTGAGTGGACGGTCAGAAGGAAAGGAAGAGGAAGAAGGGCTTGAAGGCGTAGAAGAAAGCTGAGGGTCGAAAGAGGGCATTCGTCGAATGTTCTGAGCAGCCTGGCGACGATGACAATAACGTGCCACGTGGCCAACACCGCCACAAGCAAAACATAACGGACGGTTGTCGTAGGTCCGCCATTGGTCGGAGTAGACTCAGACTTGCGGCTGGGGGCAGAAAACTGCGGCCGAGCTGGTATCGGCATAGGCGGCTGTGAATAGGTCGGCGGCGAAAGGGCAGCGGCGAATACATAGGCGCTGGCTGGAACGCAGGCTGTCGAGGTCGAGCAACGGCCTCGGCGTACGTGAGAGGTGCGGCGACTGGTGGCGGTTCACGGGCGGGAGGAAGAACTTGTGCGGCCTGGTCTTCAATGAAGTCGCGGAGTATAGACGTCAATCTGCGTGGTTGATCGGGTACGCAGGACATCAAAGAGAGATGATGAGCGACCTCAGTGCAGATGTACTCTTGGATCTTGGAAAGAAGAGGGGCATGGTCTTCTCCTATGCCAAGGGTGGACAGGCTGGACAAAGAGTCGCCGAGCACCAAGGGACGTCGGGTGGAAAGACGTTGCCTGCGCAACTCGTCAAAACTCTGGCATAACTCAGTCAGTTCTAGGACAGTGTGAGGACTCTTGAAAGCAACCTTTGGAAAGCGTCGTCCTCAATGCCCTTCATGATGTGCTTGATCTTAAGCTCTTCGGACATCGACTCATTGACTCGCTTGCAAAGGTACAGAACGTCCTCAATATAGATTGTTAAATTCTCACCAAGCTGCTGGGATCGAGTATGCAAGCGTTCTTCGGCACGGCGTTTGCGTACCTCAGGCCGTAAGAAAACTTTTGTGAGGTTCGTTTTGAAGACAGACCATGTAGGGAGTTCCACTTCGTGATTTATAAACCACAGCTTGTCCACGTACGACAGGTAGAAGGAGACGTAGGCCAACTTGGCGGCGTCATCCCATTTGTTGTGAGTACTCACTCGCTCGTACATTGGAATCCACTGATCAACGTTTCATTTCATTTCATTTTATTTCCTTAAAGACCCGCGAGGGGGTATTACATAAAGGGTGGGTAATTATACTGACAAAGCATAGAAACCAAAGATTTATCATAGAAAGTGCTTATTGATATTTTGTATGAACGATGAGGGGTAGGAAAAGGTTGCGATTTCACTGAGAAGGCCGTTCCAGTCTGGTGCGGTACGTGGAAAAAACGAGGCAGAAAAAGTGGAAGTCCGGGAACGTGGCCGAGCAACTTGAAGCAAATGGCTCGTGCGGTGAGATATGCGTGTTGCGGGAGCGATATAAGGTCCTTGTCTTCTGCTCCTGAGAAAACAGGGGGATCTCGCCGACGCAAAAAACCGGCGCAGAGAACAGCAGGCTGTGCCGGTGGAGGAGTTGGAGCGGCGCTTGCGTCGGTAGGCATAATGGACCGTAAAATGCGATTTCGAAGCTGCTCCAGGGTGATCAAAACCCAGCACCTTCACCACTTGTGACGGGTTTTGTTTGCAGAGCAGAACGCAGAAGGCGATGTAGCCAGCAGCGTCCGGCCAAGCGAAACAAGGACGAGCTTATACTAATGGCGATGCCCCGGAGGCACCGAGAAATGCCACTGAGGCCCCTCTTCTTCACTACAATATATATATATATATATATATATATATATATATATGTGTGTGTGTGTGTGTGACGCAGGAGGCGTGATGGCTGTACGATGAACCATTTATTTGTCTTCGTCTTCCTCCTTCTCTACCATTCCACCACACCGTTCTCGTGTGGTTCGTCACATATATATATATATATATATATATATATATATATATATATATATATATATATATATATATTGTCCACTTCCAAATTAACACATCACCCCCCAACAATAATTCCTGCCGCCCTTGTTTAAAGCCACGATGTCTTGTATGTAAGGCGATGCGAGAAACAGACAAAGCAACCAGCACGCAATCCAAGTTTTCAATTAACATACGAGGAAACCTAACATGCGATTCCTCTAATGTGGTATACCTACTCGAATGCAACGTGTGTGGTATGCAGTACATCGGACAAACAGAAACACCATTTAGCATTCGCTTCAATAATCACAGAGCCCATGCGAAATTAGCCCCAAGTCTACCTCTATCAAAACATCTCAATCTTCCCGACCATGCATTCGACAAACTATCAGTAACGCTCTTAGAGACGGGATTCAAATCAAATCGAGAACGTGAACAACGAGAGTCATACCTTATCCACCGATTTAACACCCTCGATAGAGGAATAAATGAGAATCCTGGTACACTTGCAGCAATTAAAGCATTAGAAAACAATAACGGCAACAATGAAAATAGTAACTGAGTTCACGGCACTGCATGCGAAGGGCACTGGACAACCCAAATTAATTCCAAGTGTAACTACTCTTCCTAAGTGCAGCTGTCGTCTGTTTTCTGTTTTATTTTACTACCCAATCAATTGTGCCATGCATGACATGCCCAACAGCAACCCTGTGCACAGCCGGGAGGCCCCCACTACACGCGTATTCCAGAAGCGGGCAAGGAATTCGCATTGCACCCACTTGCACAGCCTACCGCAATACGGGGCACCCCTCTTTTTACGACGAAATGTTGACAGGGCGCGGAGTAGTTACAGGCTTAGAACTTCCTAAAATGCCCGCTTACCAGCCTCTGCCACAATACGCGGCACCCCTCCTTCTACGACAAATTGTTTACGGGACTCCGAGTAGTTAAAGGCTTAGGACTTCCTGAAAAGCTCTTTTTTGCCCCACACCGAACCGCCAGTGCCAGGAGGGGCCGTCTGATCGGGAGGAATGCGTTAGTGAACGGAAACATACACAGACAGCTGACATCAGAAAGGTGAAGGGGAGAAGGGGGAGAGAGATGAAGGGGGAAGTGGAGGGAAGAGTGGAGGGGGGATGTGGAAGGAAGAGTGGAAGGGGGGCACCCGAGGGGCGTCTACCATATATTATTTTTCTCTTCTTCTCTTTTTCTTCTTTTTCTTTCCTTTTTCTTTTCTTTCTTTTTTTTTCTTTTTTCTTTTTTTTCTTTTTTTCTTTTCTGTCTTTTTTTTCCTCTTTCCTTGCCCTCTGATTTGAGATTGTATAAAGCTGAGCACCAACAAACTGTATTTTTAATCCTGATGAAGGCCAGACTCTAGGCCGAAACGTCGAAATAAACCACGTTGTGACCGCTCAAGGAGAATCTACTGCACTATATATATATATATATATATATATATATATATATATATATATATATATATATATATATATACATGTGTGTGTGTGTGTGTATACATGTGTGTGTGTGTATACATGTGTGTGTGTGTGTATACATGTGTGTGTGTGTGAGTGTGTGTGAGTGATATGGATTCGAAAGCTTGAACTCTCATATATATAAACTAAATAATATTACCTGTAGCCTTCGCTATCTCTTTTGTAGAGTTACACGACTTTTGTTCAATAAATACCAAATGGTCATTCACTTGTACGCAGATTGACGGCATGTCTACGCTGCCAGAGAACATTCTGGACAACATGGTCGTTGCACCTATTTATGAGGTGAGCCTATACCTAGCTAAGTATGACGGCTGGTTCGTTTTCCATAGAACTAAACATAGTACAGCGTGCATTAATTCCTTACCAATGAGAAGCGCTATACCAGCGGGTGATCCAAATATTCTTTAAAACGTTCATATAATACATGTGGGTGCTTTTCATAACTTTCTCCAGAGTTGAAAAATTGGCTGGCGTGCTCTATGATGACGTGACCGGAATTCACGCTGCTGATGATCGCATGTAGTAAGATTATGTGTTTGGCTCAACTGCTTAATTAGCCATAACAAATTAACCTCCTTGTAAATGAATGAATGAATGAATGAATGAAACATTTACTGCCAGAATGTGGTTCAAGAGTGGACTAGTCGCGTCCTTATTCTGAGATCGCTTTGCATTGCGCTGCGATTCGCACCCCCTCCACGAGTCTCCACTAGGCCTCGAGAGCTGGGCTTGACAAAGCACCCTCTCACGTTGGCTTCGTAGTTTACGCGGTTCTTCTATTACACTGGCAGGCCAAAACCATGTGAAACAGCCCGGCTGCTGCAGAATTTACACAGTGCACTATATTGTTCTATGTCTATTTTGACCAGTACAACCGGGCTGCTGTAGGACATCGATTGAAGCCTGCGCACACAGGTCTCCTCGGCCTTAGTTCATTTTTTAGCCACAGGAGGCCAGTGAAGCTACGGTGCTGGGCAAGTAATCCTGACAAATAATGTTGGTTGATTTGCAAAATATCTGTTTACACAGTTCCTAAACGTCTATCTGCCAAATGTCAGTTTCTTTCGTTTATTGCAGGCACCAGCGAACAGATAAAAAAAGCAAGAAGAAACACAAGGCATGCCCATTTGCGCACCGCGATTTAGTTTCGATACTACCATCCATTTCGCTATGGTACGCAGGAAGGTGAAAGCTCGCCAAAAAAAATTGGCAGTTCACGTTTTCGCAAGCGCACTTGTCATCTTCATTGTTCGAAACCATTTGCAGCCATGAAAAAGACAAGTACACATAACCTCGGCTGAAGTACACACCCCCTGTTCACATGTTTTTCATTTTTAGTATTACTTCGAAGTTGTGATAAAAATTTTGGCAGATCCCACATACCTGGGAATCAACGTTATGCGAAGCGTGCTAATTGAAGGTGACCGTGTTGCAGTTTTTTATTGAGCAGCACGTCATGAAATGACGCTAACATATGTAGAAATGTTGAATGCACACATATCTTGAAGAGTACTAGGTGTGTACATGACCAGTTGTTTGCACTTGCGCAACGATGCCAACTGGAACATGTGTCAACACCAGAAGCTGATATGAAGCGCTGATGCTCGCGAAGATGGTGGCCACGGATACTGCTACATAAATCAACTTCAGCGCATGGCAACTAACCATGATTGATGTTAACCCGACGTGACGGCTGTATCAAACGAGTGCAAATTGAATGTTCGTAAAATTGGGTAGGCAGCACTGCAACTACTATTGACGTTTCACGAAAATTAGTGTGTATTGAAAAAGTAGTTCCGAGACCTGGTGTAGTTCTGTGGTGAAATTCTTTATTACCTCACTTAATGCTCTGGTTTGATTCCAGCTGGGACTCTGACATTTATTCTTTGCATTCGTATGGTCGACGTTACCGATGTCGGGTATTTCTTAACACTCACGCGTTAAACATGCCCAAGTGCGTTCTCGTCGTTCCTGGGTATATATTAAGTGCCAACCACCTGCGGCACATACTCGCATACCAGCGGCACATACGTTCCCGTGGGTATGTGCCACTGTCAGGGGGGAAATATTTCACGATGTAGCAACATGATTGTGACATAATTCATGCCTTAACGAGCACGTCAGATTCGTCAAAGCACCTTACCCTCCCATGCTGATTTTGAATCACCTCAAGTTAAGGGGGTGACCACAAGAGCACCTAAACGTAAGAAGCTAGATAGATATAGATGTGCAAAATCCACAAAGTTTGATAAGAAATGCTTTGCACTGAGAGAACACTACTCGTTAAATTGACATTAGAAAACACATTTTGAGAACGACGCTGTTAGTTGACGCCTAATGCACCTGCGTATGCTTGTAAAGAGAGTAAGCAAAAAGTGTTCCAAGGACTCGGCAAGCTGCTCAAAGAACACAGGGTGCAGCTTCAACCAAGAGCAAAAGCTTTTGCAATCAGCTCCCCGAGCCACATCCCAATTCCATTGTACAAGAAGACCAAGTTGGAGCTTCAAAGGATGCAGAAACTTGGTGTCATACCACCAGTTGATGAGCCGACCGAGTGGTTTGCACCACTGATAGTCGTTCCAAAGCCCTCCGGAAACGTGAGAATATGCGTCTACTTTACAGATCTGAACCGCCACGTTCTCAGGAAATGGCATTTTCTTCTTTTCGTGGAGCGCACTCTCTGGACTTCTTCATGGAGCTAAGGTGTTCTCCAAACTCGATGCCAACACTGGAGTTTGGCAAATTCCACTTTGTGAAGAATCAAGGAAACTCACCACCTTCATCTTGCCGTTTGGTGGCTTCTACTTCAACCGACTACCATTTGACACATTCGCACAACGCAAAACTACGAGTAGTCACGACGTAACTACAGAAGAAGTGGCAAGGACAGAAAGAGCGCTGTTTCTGTACTCAGTCTCTTCTTTCGTAGTTACGTCGTAACTACTCGTAGCCTTGCGCTTTGCAAATATGTTGATTTCCAATCACCAACTAGCCCAAGCATCTGTCTTATCAAGTACCATTTGCCATTGCGTCAGCTCCTGAACACTTCCAGAAGCAGATTGCGTACATGTTACAAGGCATCAGTCGAGTTGTCTGTCACATAGACGACATCCTCATCTGGGGTTCCAACGACAAGAGCACAATGAGACACTCCGAAACGTGCTGCAGGCACTTGCAAAAGCTGGACTGACACTGAACGACAGCAAGTGCGCGTTTAATGTTCAGCGCCTTACATTCCTAGGACACTGGCTCAGTGAAGACGGAATAAGACCCGACGAAAATAAGGTTGAAGCTATAATGAAAATGTAGTGTCCCAAAACAGGACTGAGCTGCAGAGAGTTCTCGTAATGGCAACATACCTCGCGAAGTTTGTTCCCAATATCTTCAATATTTTGCAGCCACTAACACTTCTGTTTGTGGCTGCAGAATATTAGAGAGATTGTTGTCACAAAAGGAAGAATTTGTTTGGGGCTTCTCGCAAGCGCAGTCATTCAACAGGTGGAAGTCGGTGCTCTCATCTCGTCCTGTCCCTGCAGTCTACGAGCCATCAGAAGAAACAGTCGTCACCACCGACGCATCATCATTTGAACTGGGAGCATTATACGAGCAGAAGCAAACCATTGGTAAGTTTTCTGTCATCGCTTACGCCTCGAGGTTACTCGCAGAAACCGAGAAGCGCTACGCTCAGATTGAAAAAGGGGCTCTTGCTTTAGTCTGGGGTTGCGATAAATTCCTCGATTACCTTGTTGGCAAGCTGTTCAAGCTAGAGACGGATCACAAGCCGTTGGTTCCAATCTTCACTTCAAAGAGTCTTGACGACTGACGCCTAGACTAGAGCGGATAAAGATGAAAACGAATGCGATATCGACATGAGGTTGCATACGTGCCCGGCAAGAAACTTCTAGCTGCAGATGCACTTTCGAGAGTGCCTCTGCAAGAGACAGGAGATAGCGAGCTCTAGGAAAGCGTTGAAGTTTTCCTGTGCTCTATGACAACCTCTATTTCGATAAAGCAACACTGTTTACAATGATTAAAGGCATCCCAACAAGCAGACTACTACTTGCACACAACTTCGTCTGTTGTGCGAGAAAGAGTGACCCTCTAGGAGAGACTTAGGACTTACCTAAAACCATTCTATGACCACCGACACTATCTCACTGTCGAGAGCGGTTCACTCCGTTTATGCATCGCGAGTTGTCGTCCCCGACTCAGGCCGAAAAGGAATCCTACGACTCTTGCCCGAAGGACCTCTTTGGCATAACAAATACATTGGCTGGAGCCAGAGACGGTGTCTGGTGGCCCGCCATAGAATCTGACGTCTCGTCCCTTGTGAAGCGATGTCAGCAATGCATCGAAACAAGAGTAAACAGGAACATGCCACTAATAGGCTCCGAATTCTCTGAGAGGCATTGGCAACGCATTGCGATAGATTTGTTTCACTTCAAGAACCAGTGATGGTTGATAGCTACCGACTATTATTCTAGATACCTGAACTAGTTCGACTTGAGAACTTACTTTCCGCAGCCGTAATCAACCACTGCAAGTCAATTTTTGCACACCACGGAATTGCCGAGGAACTGGTTTCCGACAATGACCCGGAATATTTAGTCGACTGAGTTCTCACTCTTCACACAATACTATGGTTTCAAGCACATTACACCTAGCCGTCACTATCCTCAGAGCAATGGAAATTGCGCAAGGCTGCAGTGAAAATCACAAAGGCATCCATGACGAAGACCAAGGACCCTTACTTTACACTTCTAGCTTACAGGTCTACTCCTTTGAAGAATGAATATAGTCCTGCCAATCTGCTCATGGGTCGTCGGCTGAGATCCAGACTTCCTCTTAGTTCCACCAAGCTGACACCCCAATCGCCAGATCAAAACAGCCATCGCAATTTTAAGGAAATATACAGACAACGTCAATGGAAAGACTTCGACAGACGTCCCGGAGTCCGCGACTTGCCGGAACTTCTTTATGGCGATGTCGTGTGGATGACAGACCTCAAGAGCAAAGGGACAGTACAAGCCCCAGCCGATGAACCTCGATCTTATAAGGCCAACATTGACACTGGTGCTGTGTGTAGAACCCGGACGGAGCTTGTCCCATATTCCAGAAGCCACAAAAACGCAGATAGTGCCAGTACCAGTGATTGTAATATAGACACTCGTTCGCATTGCCAGGATACCAGAAGTGGCAGGTACGTGAAGCCTTCTGCTGCAGCGAACATCGCTCGATTGCATTGGCAGATGTTGTAGATGCTGCAACTTAGGACAAGCCAG